GGCCGTGCCCCTCCACGCGGAGCCCCCGCAGCCCACAGGCACCTACCTGCCACAGGCCCCCGGGCGCCCCGGCCCCTCCCCAGCTCTTTTGCAGGTACCCTCCCTGCAGGAGCAGGTGCTCCCCGGGCCCTGCACCCTGCCCGCCACCTGGGAGCCACCGATGGAGACCTTCCAAGATGCCGTGCTGCTCTCGGACGACCAGGGGCACCCAGCGCCCACCGACGTGTGCCCCCACCCTGCCACGGCTCCGCTCACCTGCAGCACTGCCTCGCTGCAATCAGGCCGTGAGTTCAGGGGCTGCAGGGCAGGCGGCAGGCTGGCTACTCCACGGGGCTGTGGGAAAGCTGGCACCGCCCCACTGGGGATGCTCTTGCTTTTCCAGCAGCCACAACGAGCGCAGACACCCCGGAGGAAATCGCCGAGGACATCGCTGAGCTCCTGACGTGGATCAACCAGGGTGAGTCTGGGGGCAGCAGAGCTGGCGGGGGGGTGCTCGCACCCAGTGGGCGCGGGAAAGCCGGCAGTGCCCCACGGGGGATTTTCTTGCTTCTTCAGAAGTGACAGCCAACCCAGGCATCCTGCACGACACCGCAGACATGGACGATCTGCTCACGTGGATCAACAGCGGTGAGTTTGGGAGCAGCACAGCTGCTGGGGGCTGTCTGCTCTGAGTGGCTGGGGGAAAGCTGGCATTGCCCCACTGGGCATTTCTTCCATTGCCCAGAAGACAGACCCAGCACCAACAGTCTTGCCGGCCATGTGGAAATCGACCGTTTGCTCACCTGGCTTGATGGTGAGTTTGTGGTCTGCACAGATGACCGGTGGGTGTCTGCACCAAGCGGGGGTGGGAAGGCTGCCATCATCGTTCCGGGGGATGTTCTGCTATTCCAGAAGCTGTGAGTGCTCTGGACAGCTGCAAAAGGGAAGAGCTGACGCAGCGCACCACTGCCACAGAACCACCGAGCGCACGTGCCTCCAGCAGCCTCAACTCCTCTTCCATCACAGAGCTGCCTCACTCCCCCAGGGCCAGCCGGGAGCTCAGCAGCGACACAGATGCTGAACCTGGGCTCCTCAACAACCCACTTGGGCACCAGGCAGCATCCCCTCAGCTGCCCGTGCCAAGCGCCCTGGCTGCTCCCACACCGCCATCGCCAAACCATGCACACCTGATGGAAGAGGTGCTGCGAAGGCAGCCCCGGGTGATTCTCACCCGCCTGGCACTGCCCAGCCCACTGCCTTCCCCCACACCTCCATCGCCCAGCACTGCACACCCGATGGGAGAGGTGCAGCAGAGGCAGCCCCGGGTGGTTCTCCCCCGACTGGCACTGCCACGCGGCTGCATCTCCTGCCGGCTGGCAGACCAGCACCACGGGGACAGCACCGAGCCAGCCAAGCGCCCCGTGCCTCCTCTGCTGCGCACTGGGCGGCTCGTGGAAGAGGCGCCGCACAAACAGCCCCACGTGCTGCTCAGGCACCTCGCACTGCCAGCCGGATGCATCTCCTGCCGGCTGGCAGACCAGCACCACGGGGACAGCACCGCGCCGCCCACCAGCCCAACGCCCGCCTGCTCCACCACCAGAGGCCAGAGCACCGCGCACAGGCAGCACGCTGGCAGCATCCCAGCCACAGACAGGAAGCTGCCACGCTGCCACCGTGCGCCACGCCACAAACGCCGGCGCTAGGCCAAGCTGCCGCTGTCAGCACGGCAGCCAGCACGAGGACTCGGGACGCTTTCTGGGCACAGTGCAAACCAGCAACAACCCTGCCAGCAGCAGCAGCAACACCAACAAACCAAGGAAAAGAATGAACCGCCAGGGCAAAGCACAGATGCCCACCCAGTCTGGAGCAGGCCAGAATCTTAGCATCCGTGCCTGGGAGGAGGAAAGGGTAGCTACTGGGTGTGCTGCTTCCTCCAGCACAGATGCAATTGCAGGGTCGCCAGCCCAGAAGGAGCCTGAGGCTGCCAGTCAGAGCAAAGCATCTCTCTGGAGGAAGCCAAAGCACTTGCAGTCATGCCAAGGAGGAGGGAAGGGTAGCTACCGGGCACGGATCTCGCCTGCCACCAGAGGGGGAAGGAATTTTGTGGGGTGGCAATTCTGGGTCAGAAATTGAACTCTGATAATATTGTGCTCCAAAATTGCTGGAATTGGGAGGAAGGAATTGCTGGTGTGGGATTTTAGGGAGGCTGGGAAGTTTTTTGGAGGGGGAAGAAAATATTGGTGGGAGGGAGCAGGGGGGGCTGTTAGGGGCCCCTGTTGTTAGGGGTGGGAAATGGTCGGGAATATTGTCATTTATGCACTGTTTTGTACATTCCACTATTAAATGTTCTGCGTTCCCTTTGCTACACCTCTGCCTGCAGTCGTTCATGCAGCACCAAAGCCCCCCCAGGTCCCCGTGCCCATCTCTGGGGATGCTGGGGTGGCTGCAGGCAGCCAAGAGCTGCCGCTCCTCCAGCTCCTCCAGGCTGAACATCTCCATCGGGGGCACCGACTTTGCACAAGGAGAGTCGAGGCAACGCCGAGAGGCAACGGGAGCTGACTGGGGAACTGCAAAGAGCACCAGGGGGCGTGGAGAGCTTTGCTCAGCACTTGTGGGGTTGGGGGGCTCAAACGGTACCCAGGTGGCACATTTTCACCTCACTGACTTCCTGTTCTCCAACATCTCACCCAAGGCATTCAACAGGCCCTTTTTTCCAATGGGGGCAGACTTTCTCCTTGCGGCTGACCTTCCCCCCCACCTCCCCAGGCTGCCCATCTCCCCCCTGGGCGCTGTGTTCCCCGCATTCCCACCCTGAAGCTGTCGCTCAGTGACACCTTTGTCACCCACACACTCTCCGTGGGTCCTGAGGAGGGCTGGGTGGTGTCCCGTGAAAGCAACCCCAGGGACAGCTCTGCTCCCAAGCCCTGGAAGTCACAGCTCCTGGAAAAACACCTTCAATGCTGCTTCATCTCATCACCTTGCCACTCCACCGGGGCGCTGGGTGGAAGCCAGCTGCTTCCCCTGCTGTCTCCACACTGGGCTCGCCTCTCTCCCTGCTCCTCACCCAACATCCAGGACTGCTTTTTACCATGCCCTTGCTCAAGAGCACACAAGCTACGCAAGCACACCGCTCGCCCTAGGAAAAACATGGCTCCTAGGCACCTGCACTGCAAACCGACAAACAGGCGTTCAAGTCTCACAGGAATCACAAAAACTTAAAACATACCCCAGGCCCCTGTTTAGCAGTAATGCTTTGCTGAATTTGGGCCCACACTATGATTCCAACTCGTCACCTTCCTGCCTTCCAACTGCCTGCACTGTGCTCTGAAGCCACGATCCAATGCCTTAATGCCCTTATGTAACAGCATCCACTTCATCAAACACAGAGGAAGGAACGTCTCAGGAATGTACATCACACACCAGCCAGGCTGCTAAGGACCGGCAACTCTTCTGGGACAGCTTCATCAAACCTTTCTGGATCAGCCTTGCTATCACACACAACTCGTCCCATTACTGCTTTGAGGGCTCAGAGCCTGAACTCCACTAAAAGGCCACCTGTCATCACAAAATCAGGCACAACTGATACAACCACACCACTAAGGCTGCTCTGCTCAACTCCACTGGTTCCCAGTGCTCGCTTAAAAAATAAAATCCACCCAGAGCATCAAACACCAACACGGTTCAGTGGCACAGCCCAGCACAGAGCTGCGATCCCAAAGCCATTATAAGGTTTTATAACAGTGCTGTGGGGGACGATTCAACTGCTTCAAGCTCAAACATGATGCAAGGGATTGATTAATCCGTACATCTCAGTGACCTCCAAACCTGATGTCTTGGAAAAAATGAACAGAACAGACCATCTCAAAGAGCAGATATTCAATCTACACAACTTAATCCAGCAGGCAGTCCTGTGGACAAATTCTGTGCTGGCAGCAGAGCCTTTTTACGACCATTGGGAACATTCCCAGTAACAGAGCTACCACAACTTGGGCACTAAATACACAGACCCACCTGGGACAACAGCAAGTAAAGAAGCAACTTACCCTCCTCCCCTTATCCAACTTCACTCTCACATTTACAAGTGAAACTGCAACGTTAACTGCCATGAAAACATGAGGGGATAAAAAGTCATCTGGTATTTTCCACGTAAGCCACCAAGATCACAGAAACCCAAGTTGTAAGCGTCCACAAGGATCACCAAGTCCAACCTGATGCTCCAGGAAGGACAACCCAAACGCAGATGGTCTTTCAGCTGCAGCAGCTCAGGACCAGGCCCACAGCCCTGGGGAGCCTGGCCACAACCACTGGTACCAGATGCAGCAAGCAAAGAGCAGGCAGGTAGGCACAGCACAGCAAGCAAAGACCAACCTGAGAGGGGGCCTGCTTACAGAAATCAACCCGGGGCCTGCCTACACAAAGCACACACCTTTCACTCCAGTAAAGCTCCACCATTTGGACAGCCAAAGCACAAACTGCCATTTCACTTCTCATGGCTCTTCCCTGAACTCCCAAACAAACAGTTACTTCATGTCCCCTATCGCACTGCAACTGCTCATAATCAATCATCAAGATCATATCTTTCACCAACCACATAAGCAGCTCACTTCTGCTTGGTGGCACTCACACTCCATTCCCACTGCGTCCCTTCATGGGAGGAAAATCACAGCCGGCTTTCTGACAGCCTCCTGCGTGATTCCCCCAAAAGCACCCAGCACTTCTTCGGAAGAGGGAAAGAAAGGAAGGTTCATGGAAACAGGCACACAAGGATTGCAAGACATGCACTGCTCCAGATCACAGACAGGACCACCAAAGCGCCAAAACACAGTTTATCACTAAAGGAAATATTTCAGAGCGTAGTCACAATTTCCGCACAAGCTGTCATGATTCAGCACGTGCAGTTTTCTGATCGTTCAGTAGCAGAAGGCAGATGCTCGCACACATCAATCAGCAAGCACTTGGATGAGCCAGCCCTCCGGTTTTCACAAGGACACACATGGTTACTGCCGGCTCTGACAGCTTACCAGGAGAGGCTGCAGTTCATCAACGTGGACCTCATTCCTCCTATCAGCAGCTACTCCTGAACTGACCTTCATTCATACAGTGACACCACCAACTTCCAGCACCAGCTCACCTGCAAAACACAAAAAAAAAGTGGGACAACAGCCAAAACAGACAAAATATGTTTTAACATTCACTAACAAAAAAAGCAAACACAATACAGATGGGCAGCTGCAGCAACACTGCAGTATGTAAAGAAACAGAAACCTGGCTTGGAGGCGACAGGCCCCCCCCCTTTGGAACAGAGCTGACAGCACCCCCCCTCACCCCTCTCTTGGCCCAGAGCCGACAGCTCCACCCCCTTCGCACCCCTCCCCTCCCCCCCCCCCCCCAACCCGTTTGGCCCAGAATGGCCCAGAGCTGACAGTTTCCCCTACCTCCCACTCACCCCCCCCCCCGGACCTCCTCCCCCCCCCCCCCCCCCCCCCTTCGGCCCAGAGCCAACAGCTCCACCCACTCCACTTTTCATCGACCCCCCCCCCCCCCCCCCCACAAACACAGCCCACAGCACCCACGGCACCACCCCACCCCCCCCCCACTTGGGCCCACAGCCGACGGCCCACCCCCCCCCGCCCGTGTGTGACAGAAGGCACAACACAAAAAGCAAATTAGAAAGAAAGCCATCACACACGTAGCAGCAGAAGCACCAGAGCAACAGCAATACATTACAGAGGCACAAAAAGCACTGCTCACCATCTCCAAGGATTCACCCACACAACAAACTCCACAGCACAGAACCTTCCAGAAACAAACCCTTCCCCCTGGCCACTCAGCCCCTAAAGGAGCTCCAGGAGGGGCAGCCAGGCTCCGCCCCTTCCAGCCACGGAGCTCCATTGCCTTCAGCTGTGCTCCCAGGGCTCACCGGCTCCTTTCCTCAGCTGCTCCCTCGGTGCTTCAGGCTGGGATTCAACACTTCTTCGACAGCAGAGCAAAGGAAAAAATCGCAAAGCAAAGCTAGAGACAAAATCCAAACAACAAAGAAAGCTTGCAGGATGCTAGGAAATAACAGAAAAGCACAGGCAGAAGGCAGAAGGCAGGGTTATGTCTGCGTGTCTGTCTGCAGGAAACAGCTGCAGCTGTTCAGTGCTGCTCCATGCACCCATTGCAGACAGCTGCACACAACAGGGCTCCAGCAGCACTCACAGCTCCTGTCAGCTGCACTATTAAAGCCATCTGATCAACTTCCAATTCCGTGTTGCAAGTGCTTTAAAGAGAGAAGCACTGAAGCTGGCAAACGCACGATGGCTCCAGATAACAAACACCAAGTCCAATGGCACTTCAGGCAATCAGCATCCTTACATTACCCCACCTCTTTTAGTTTACCCAGAGAGGCTTCTAGCTCCTTTACAGCTTCTTCTCATTCTGGGGGATGGAAAAATGTTGAAATGGCTCCAAAACCCGTTCAATTTTCACTTCATCCCGATTTTGCCCTGCAGGTGGGGTTTTGTTTTCCTTTTTGGTGTTGCACAACAGGTGACTGAAGTGACTGATGCAGCTTTGAAGTTGAATCATTCCATCAAACATGCTGCTTTTCTTGGAAATCTCTCCCTGAAATCCATTCATTCCTACAGACACTGTAGGAGGGATTTTACCAGCCCAAGCCGACTCGAGGTTTGGATTCAGCTGTCGCTCCTTTCTCCCCCTGAGGAGCACAAGATCTGCGCCTCGCTGCCAGTGTCAGAACAGACCTGGGGCACAGGGAAAGGAGCCAGAGAGTGTTTCCTCTGCTGCACGTTTGATTCCTCGCCAATGAAGACAGTCATGTCTTCGAGGTTTGAGAACAGTTCTCTGAATTCAGTGACACAAACTTCTGCAAAGACTTCATTCTTACTTTCACGGCTTGGATTTTCACTTCTGTCTGAGTGCCTTCTGGACTCTCATCTTCAGCTCTGCTGCCACTGCCCCAGGCGGATGGGGAAGGAACCTGCAGAGGGTGTCCTGGCGTTTTCTCCCCAGCAGTGGGTTGATTTTCCAAGTCGTCACACCTTCACTTTCCAGGTCAGTCTCACCTATGATGCCTACTGCAAAGAACAAAAATTAGTGGAAAACAGATGATGATGTAGCTTAACATGAGACAATTCTCAGCACGTACATTAGAATGTACCCTAATGCATAACCAATGAATACGCAGATGTTACAACTGAGAAATACCCAGGAAAGTTAGGCTAAGTCAGATTATTGCAACAAAAGGATAATAAATGGAAAATGTCCTGTCCTCTGGCTGCCGCCTCTTGCCTTCTGCAGGCCTTCTTTGACACCTACCAAGCTTTAGTGAGGCTGCATCAGTGTGAAACACCAGTAACCTGTGGAGCTCTGAAGGGGAGCCGTGGCTCCAGGAGCTCAGGAGGGGCTGTGCGTGCTCTTTAGTGTGCGTGCAGTCTGCTTGTGCTATGGCAGAAGGGCTCTGACAGCTGGGGCCGTGTTGGTGTGGTCAGGTAAAGTGGACATGAACACTTCTCCCTTCGGAAAGATTGAAAGACAGAGCCTCTCGTTGCTGCTTACTGGATGTTTTTCATCTTTAGAAACACAGGTGTTTGAATCATGCTGTTTTTCATGGGAGATGTGCCAGAATGTCTCTGATGGACTATTTGCTGTGCCTTTCTACCACCAGAAATGCTGCTGATATAGCAGTTCAGAAAGCCTGTGCTGTGGATTTGTCTCCTGGACTCACGTGAGAAGGATGGCTGTGGAGATGTTGGTCTTGGGGCAGGAGCTGTTAGAAGCTTTGGAGAGTGGCCTGCGTGTGTCAGGAGTGATTGTGGTACCACTGCTCGGTCAGTTGGAGTGCGTGAAACAAGTCTGAAGTCTTCTTGTAATGGAGCAATGGGAAAGGAGTCTATGCATTGGAGAGCTGACTTTCAGTCTGCGGGCATTTTCGGGGAGCTGGGGCGAGGGGTGAGGCAAGGAAAGCTGCGGTAGGAGGATGAGGTGTGGGAATAGGAACGTCTTCCATTGAGAGCAACTCCTGCTGTTTGCTTTTTGACTTGGAATGCATGCTTTTTTTAATCGAGAACAAACTCCTTGTGCAGCTTGGGAATGAACTCATCCACACCTGTTACTGTTTGGCGTTCTTCTCTACACGGAGCTGCAATGGAAATGGACGCCTCTGGTCTGGTTGCCAGCCCCCTCCCGCATGCTCAGATCAGCCAAGTTTGCAAGGCCCGGCTCTTGGTGAGTTGTGCCCAAGGTCAGAGGTGGCTCTTCTCAGCTTTGAGCTGTGTTTTCCAGTTGCGTGTTGTGCTATTCCTGTTGTGTTGAGCTCTTGAGCTGCAGCCCTAACTGGGGATCCAAGTAGACTGACACAGAAGGAATGGTTGAGATCTATGTGAGCTTGGATTGGAAATGCAGTGCCAAGGGCTGCACAAACGTGAGGCAGCCCTGAGTATAAGGAAAGGCATCTGCTGGGTGAGGGCTTTGCTGGGTGAGCATCACCCTGCTGAAGAGCAGGCAGCTGTTGTCTTTGCAGACAGCCACATCCATGGGGATTGGAAGCTTCCTCTGCCTTCCAGCTCTTGGCTGCTGCTCTGAGAGTGGAGCTTCTTGCCCGGAGAGAACCAGCAGCAGAAGGGATCCCATGCGTGGCCTCTGAGCCCTTTCAGACCAACCAGCTGGATTAGCGTGGCTGGGACCTTGGTTTGGAGTTCACCCAGCAGGCTTTGCCCAAAGCAGAATGAGCTGTGGGCACAGCGTCCAGCAGTGGAAGTGACCGACAGCTGGAGACAGCAGCAGCCTGAGCGGCGCTCTTGGGGGAAATCCTCACTGAACAAAGGCCCAGAAGAAGAGAGCAGCTTGTCCCTGTGTTCACATAGTCAGGTTTTCCTTTCTGACCTGACTGTTAGCTCAGGCGCTGCCTACAGCTGTGTGATGTGCTCTGCAGGAAGTGCCGATGGTTCGCATTCAACCTTGTCTTTCACCTTGTTCTAAAGCTTAGAGGCACCCTTAATTTCTGCAGCCCTGAGCTTTGTGCCATGAGAGCTCTCTGGCTTCTACCCGTGATGTGAGACTGTATTGTGTCTACTCTGTCAGGCTCTTCTTCTCTTTTCTCTTTTAAGGTCCCTCTTTTAAGTACCTCTTTTAAGGTAGGAAAACTCATTTCTGGGCCAGGAGAAGAAGAAATGCAGCAATCTTCTCTGCACTGCTCAGTTTGCCTGAGTTGCCAAGTGCTCCCCGTTTTTCTTGTACCCTGCAATTCCAAGTCCATATTTTCCCCAAAGCAAAAGAATTCAGAGGTAACCACCTACAGTTCAGTAAGCGATTTCAGTATTTATTTCTGACTGTGGCAATTCCTTCCGTTCAGAAGTCACACTTAATTGACGGTGCCTGCTTTAATTCTGACCAGGGTTGCAGTGGCAGCTGGCTTCCCAAGGCTGCAGTACGTGGTGGTGGCACAGCCTCGGGCGTCTGCATTTGTGCCAATGCCACATTTCCTTTCTCTGTCTCGCAGGTCAGCTGGCGCTAGAAGTGGACGGCATCCAGTGTGAATGGAGGTCAGTGCAGGAGCAGCTGCTGCTGGGAGGAAGGAAGTGCAGGCTGATGGACGCTGACGCATCTCCCGGCACGGCACCAGAGGAGGCAGCAGTGATGCTGGGGGGCAGCTGCAGAAGAACACGAGGAGCTCCTCAGCAGGAAGCCACAAACCTGCAGAAAGCTGCAGCGGACTCAGAGCACGCGGGGATGCCCAGGAGGAAATGCAGGCCCAGCTTTTGAGCAGCACCTGGCCACGGAGTGCTGCGGCCCAAGAACAAAGCTGTTGTGCCTTTGCCCAGATGGCTTTCCAAGGTGGACTCGTCTGTCCTCATGAAAACCAGAGGGCTGACTCATCCAAATGCTTGCTGATTGCCACAGCCTGAGCGGCCAGCATCGACCCTGGGTTGAGGCACAGCCAGAGAGGCTGCACTGGCCCTGGGCCTAAACCTGGAGCCACAGCACGAGAAGCCGGCACCAGCTTCAGGCCTGAAGCCATAGCCTGAGAGCCAGCCCTGAAGTCCGAAGCTGCAGCCAGAGAGCCAGCACCAGCCCTGGGCCATAATGCCACGGTTACAGCCACAGGGGCAGCGCCAGAGCTGGGGCTGACAGCCACACCTACAGCCAGGCGGGCTGGCACCGGCCGTGGAGCCTAAAGCCAGTCCTGAAAGGCCGGCACCAGGCCTAGGCCTGAGGCACAGCCCGAGAGGTCGGCACCGACCTGGGGCCCCAAGCCAGAGGCAGCGGCTGGCACCGGCCCTGGGCACAGCTGTGCCTTCCTATTGCTTTCTGATGATTCCTACAGGGCTCCACTGACCGCTCTGAGGCCATGCTGCTCCTTACTGGTTTTCACTTGGCCATGCTGCACTTTGCTGCTCCGTACTGCTCTGCACTCCTCCCAGCTCTTACTTGTTCCTCTGGGACCCCGCTGACCACTACGAGGCCATACTGCGTTTTTACTGGGCTGCACAAGGGTCGTCTTCACTTCTCTGTTGCTTTACTTCAATTAACCCCCATTCAATGAACCCCATTCACCCCATTGGTCAGTCTCATGTTTCCTACAATTTGGATCTGGGAGGTGACCACTCCTTTGACTATGATGCAAGCACAGCGGTGATGCAGGCACTTGCTGAGGTCACAGTGGTTGCCAGGCTGGGAGCGTTTGTGCCCCAGCTGGAGCAGAGCTGGTGGTCTGGTGAGCGTGCTGCACACCGAGACTGAGCTCTGTGCTTTTTTGGAGTGATCATCCTTTAGAGCCCACTGGGAGCAGCGCTGCGGCGTGTGCGTCAGCTGGGCACCGCTCCGGCTGGGCAGTGACCAGGTGAGCTGGGTTGGTGCTGGCTGGGTGCTGGGAGGTGTCTCAGCAGAAAAGCCGGGCTGGGGAGGGGTTCCCAGCTCCAGCGGTGCCCCTCAGCACAGCTGTTTCCAGGGGAAATGGTTCTTGTGGAGATTCCATCCCACGTTTCAGTGAGGATGATGGGATGTCCTTCCTCCCCTGGAAAATCACTGCTGAGCCCCCGCCTTCATGGCGGACGTTGAAAAGCAAGGACAGCACAAGCTTCTCAGAGCACAGCTCTACCCCCTGCCCCATGCATGGCTGGGTGCAGAGCTGTTGAGGAGATGGAGAAGGGCGCTTGCTGACACAAGCCGTGGCAGTCAGACACAAACTGGACCTGGTGGCAGGCGGCTCTCGCAGCCAGCTGACGTCCAGACGCCGCCCTCCTCAAGAGACGACATGGCGCGGCAGAAGAAAGCTGGGAAGATGCTTCTTCCTCCTGATGTTTCACTGGTGGATCCTTTCTGCAGGGTTCCTGTCCAAAAGGAGATTCTTAGAGATCAAGGCCATCAAAGACAGAGGGAAGCCAGCTCTATCCAAGAGCACACAAGTTCCTGTGCACAGCCCTTGGAACTTCAGCTTCCTCTGAGACAGCGGCCATGTCTCAGCCAGGGGACGACCGCAGTTCCAATTCCTGCTCTGGGAGAGGAAAGGTACGGCTGGGTTTCCTTGGCTTGCTTCTTCTTCCTTTTTCTCACGTTTCAGGGAACGGCTGGAGCAGGGGGAGCCCTGCAGGTCCTTTGGGACCTCAGTCACCAGTTGCATTCTGCGCTCGCTGCTGACAGCCCGGGCTGATGGCGTGGGCATGACTGGGGCCCTATTTTCCCTTAGTGATAAAGAACATCTCAGCACTCTGCTATCCCATCTCTGGCACGACCTGGAAGCTCTGTGCAAACCTTGGCTGCCCGTTCCCTCCAACGTTTCTTCCTTTCTCTCCTCAGAAGCAGCGCGGCGCGGTTCGCCGCGTTTGGAGGCAGCAGCCAGCAGGCTGCCAGAGATCCAACGGCGCCTCGCAGCGCACAGAGGGACGCGATGGGGACGGGCCGTCCTCACTGCCACGCAAAAGTGAGTTTCTGCAGTCCTCTGTCGTGAAGGATGGAGGAATGCATGCTAGCTATCACTTCTGAGCGGCTGCAGTGCTGTAGCGATGTCCAGTAACCACGATGGAAGCATTAGAGAGGCCGACAGCAACAGCTGATGGCAGCAGCAAAACAGTAGTCTGTGTATAAGTGGTGGTGCTCAGAGCTGAGTGCATTCCTTTTAGGGCCAAAAAATACCTGCCTCAACTTTTGCACCCGGTAGCGTTTTGTTTGCTGATGCAGCTTTGCTCTGCAGATTGCAGAGCTGTCAGGCAGTCCGGGGTTCCTCTGCTGCCATCTGACAGGAATGAGAGCAGTAATGCTTTGTGTAAGCACACTGCAGTTTGAACATCAGTTTCTGCTCTGGCTGTAGAACAGCGTCTTTTGGTTTTGGGGGTGGGTGTGGGCTAACAGGACAGCGCTGCTCCTGGTGTCTGTGCAATCACACTGGATCTGTTGTTGCAGGGACGGAGCCTGCGCGTCCGTGGGATGGTGCTGGGCACGGGGGGAAACGGAAAGCCTCCCCAGGTAAGAAGCTCCTGTGAGCTGTGGTGTGGGTGCTGCCTCTAAGCAGAGCTGCATGCAGGGCTGTGTGTGATGGAGGGGAGAGGAAAGGGCGCTGCAGATCTGTGCTGACTGCACAAGTGGCACAACGCTGTAGCAGCGGAAAGAAACGATGCTTGAGGAGCAGAAGTCTGTGGCTGGCAGTGCTAAAATGTTTGTCCAAAGAGATGCTCTTCATGTCTTTGTTTCCTTTCTGTCAGAAGCTGATGCAAGCAGCCTTCCAGCCAAGCGCAGCCTTGCAGAAAGGCAAGGCAGAAGCACCGAGTGTGGCACAGCACCCAAGAGAGGTACGGACACACAGCAGGCACCTGGGTTTGGTGCACTGTCTTTCTAGCTGGGCTCTCTGTCTGTTCTTTCTGGGACTGACGTTGCTGTGTCTTGCTGGAGGTATTAATCCCTGGGATCTACTATTACCTTCCTGTCCTGTTTTGTAATCTCAACCCAACGTGCTAAGATTCCATACTGTGCACGCTCAAGAACAGATTTCCTAGTACTGTGGCCCATCTTGCAGACTGAAAGAAGCACTGGACTCTCGTTGTATCTCCTCTCTTCTCTTCTCTTGATGATAACAGACAGAGGTGCTGAGCCCAACGGAAAGATCTACGCGAAAGCGGTGCAGGAGGTCCTTTCAGAGAGAGCTCGTCTGCAGGCTGGAGGGCTTCCTCCATCAGCAGGTCCCAGCTCAGGGGGAAGACCTGCCCCTGCCGTGTGCCCCCGCTCTGTCTCCAAGTCCCTGGCTGGAGGTAAACGCAAGGGCTTGGAAGAAGAGCAGCAAACAGCAGCGCAGCTGCCTGCTACCAAAAGAGCGAGGGCTGAGAGCGGAGGCAGCGTGCCGGCTCCAGCAGCACAGCCTGGGCCTGCTGCAGCACGGAGCTCCAAGCTGAGAGGTAAGCAGGTGCTGTGCTACCGCCCTGCAGGGCAGGTGCTGCCCTTATCAAGCACAATGAGGCTGCACGGAGTTTGCTTTGCTTTTTCCTTCTCTGCAGAGGGGAAAAGAGTTGAAGCCTCCAAAGTCCCAAGGCAGTGAGGTGCCATGTAACCCCGTCTCTTTAACTGCACGCTGGTCTTCTGTTTGTCCCCCTGGAAATGGCATTCACTGAGAGGCTTCCTGCTCAAATTTCCCCTGTCTTTTTTCTGCCTTCTGCTTTTGCGGTACCCTGTTTACACCGTTCTGCTGCTAACAGAATGAATTCATTTTTATTCTTGCTTTATAGCAAGAAGACGACAACAAAAAGAGAGGAGAGGGCAACTGAAGAAGGCTTCCCTCAGGGCTGCAGCTGCACATGCAGAGGTGAGTCCCTGGTGAGCACAGACACGGCTCTTGTTGCTCTCAGTGCCTGTGTCTGACAGCCGTGAAAGATGCTGTGATGTCCTGAGGGCAGCGATGTCACAGAAAAACACCCCGCTGTGTGTCTGAGGAAATCACGCTGTCAGTGAGAGCTGCCCAGGGGAGCTTGGGTGCCTTCCTCTGCCTTCAGAAGGGCACCGTTGGTAACGGCCGGAGGGTTTTGCTGCCATAAAGAGCCTTGCCGTGTCGGGCACTGCGACCTTGCAAACCTCGTTCCCCCAGCAGAGCATGAATCTTAGCATAGGCAGCTGCTGTGGGAAGTAACGCCAGTGACCTGAATGGCAGGAACGGGCTGTGCTGCATGGGGCTGTTCTGCAAGTGTACTGATCAGCCTTGCTTAGGGAGATCTGCCCACATTGTTTCTGTCCTATCTCTAACTTGCCTTGTTTCTTTCCAGTCCTCCGCCATGAACAGCCTGGTGGAGATGATGCAGAAGCTGCAGCTGAACGACTGAGAGGAGGAGCATCAGCAGGCAGCGCTGCAGTGCGCGGCGTTGCAGGGCAGCGTTCCGAGTGCCGCCCAACTCGGCATTCCTAGTTTGGTTTAGTCAATAAAAAACATCACCATAGAGATCAACACAGAGCGCACGGCCCGATTTGTCCAGTGGCATCCATGAGCTGCTGCCCCAAGGACGTTCTGACGCACTCACATAACAGCTGTGCAGTCACACACACGTGTGCACATCCTTGCACAAGGGGAAAAACGGGGATGTGTAGGAGAAAACCCCAGGTTTAAGGGGAAAAACAGGGATTTCTAAAAGGAAAAGCCATATTGAAGGGGAAAAACCCCAGATTTAAGGGGAAAAACAGGGATTTCTGGGAGAAAACCACGGATTTAAGGAGAAAAACAGGGATTTCTAAGAGAAAAACCCATATTTAAGAGGAAAAACGGATATCTAGCAGAACAACCCAGATTTCAGGGGAAAAACTGGGATTATTAAAAGGAAAAGCCATATTTAAGGGGAAAAACATTAGATTTAAGGGGAAAAACAGGGATTTCTAGCAGAAAACCCCAGATTTAAGCGAAAATACCCCAGATTTTAGGGAAAAACAGGGATTGTTCAACATCTTCACCAATGACCTTGAGGAGGGGATAGTGGCCACCCTCAGCAAGTTTGCTGATGATACCAAGTTGGGAGGATTGGCTGAAATGCCTGAAGGCCGCGCTGCCGTTCAGCGAGAGCTGGACAGGCTGGAGAGCTGGGCAGAAAAAAAACACATGAGGTTTAACAAAAGCAAGAGTAGAGTCTTGCATCTGGGGAGGAATAATTGCATGCACCAGTACAGGATGAGGATGAGCTGCTGGAGGGGAGCTCTGCGGAGAGGGACCTGGGTGTCCTGGTGGACGACAGGTCGGCCGTGAGCCAGCAGTGTGCCCTTGTGGCCAAGAGGGCCAATGGCATCCTGGGGTGCATTGCACAGAGCGTGGCCAGCAGGTCGAGGGAGGTGATCCCCCCCTCTGCTCTGCCCTGCTGAGGCCTCATCTGGAGCTCTGCGTCCAGTTCTGGGCTCCCCAGTACAAAACAGACAGGGATCTCTTGGAAAGAGTCCAGCGGAGGGCCACCGAGATGGTGAGGGGCCTGGAGCATCTCTGCTATGAGGAAAGGCTGAGTGAACTGGGTCTGTACAGCCTTGAGAAAAGAAGGCTGAGAGGGGACCTGATCCAGGTCTATCAGTATCTGAGGTGTGGGGGGCAGAATGGCGAGGCCGGACTCTGTTCAGTGGTGAGTGGAGACAGGACAAGGGGAAATGGCCGGAAACTGCACCTTAGGAATTTCTGCACAAATGTGCACAAGAACTTCTTTACAGTGAGGTGACGGAGAGCTGGAACAGGCTGCCCAGGGAGGTGGGGGAATCTCCTTCTCTGGAGATGTTCAAGACCTGCCTGGATGCCGACCTGTGTGACTTGGTGTAGGAACTGCTTGGGCAGGGGGTTGGACTCAATGAGCTCTGAAAGTCCCTTCCAACCCCTACAGTTCTGTGATTCGGTGTGATTCTGTGATCCCAGCTCATCCCAGCTTCATCCCAGCCCATCCCAGCACCACCCCAGCACACCCCAGAATATCCCAGCACATCCTAGCTCATCCCACACCATCCCAGCACGATCCCAGCATAACCAAGCATCAAACCAGCATCATCCCAGCACATCTGACCACCATCCCAGCACAACCCATTCATCCCAGCACAATTCCAGCACCTCCCAGCCGCATCACACACCATCTCACACCATGACAGAACATCCCAGCACTTTCCCAGTACATCCCAGCACCATCCCACAACACCCCAGCATGTCCAAGGATGATCCCAGCACATCCCAGCACATCTCATCCCAGCCACTGCATCCCAGAACATCCCACCATATCGCAGCACATCCCAGCAACATCCCATCAAATTCCCACACCATCACAGCAAATCCCAGCCCCATCTCAGCACATCCCAGCCCATCCCAGCACATCCAAGCACCATCACAGCGCATCCCAGCACCATCCCAGTAACATCCCAGCATGTCCCAGCCCATGCCAGCACCATCTAAGCACCATCTAAGAACCATTCAAGCACATCCCACACCATTACAGAACATCTCAGCATAATCCCAGCACATCTCATCCCAGCAGCTGCATCAGAGAACATTCCACCACTTTGCAGCACCATCCCACACCATCCCAGCACAACCCAGCACCATCCCAGCTGCATCCCACACCATCCCAGCACTATCCAAAAAACATCTCAGCCCCATCCCAGCACAACCCAGCACGTCCCACACAATTCCACACCATCCCAGCACCCGCCCAGCACAACCCAGCCCGTCCCAGCCCCATCCCAGCACATCCCAGAACCATCCCAGCACCTGCATCCCATCCATGTATCTATCTAGAAACTCTGCTTCCCCAGTCCTTCAGTGAACAGACAGAAAGACACCCACCCTGTGCTGCCTTCTCCTTCACCATTTTCTTCAGGACATGGCAGAGCCTCTGCGGATATTCTCCAATTCTCCATGCCTCTTTCTGTCTCTCAGGACCTGAACACAAAGCACGAAAATACATTTCAGACAAACAAAGGATTGAACCAAATGGTCTTTTTGGTGAAGTCAATAAAGACAACAGCCACTCCTGGGACGCCTGTGGGGCTCCAGCACGGGAGGCAGCCAAGGATTTTGGCCCGGCCTTCCCTGCAGGCACTTCTGCACCCAAAGCCTGAGGAGAACTTTCCATCACACGCTGCCATCTACGCAGCTGCGGAGCAGAGTTATGCAAGTTGCAGAGCTGCCACGTGGGCAGCTGGCTGGCGCTCAGCATCCCAGCACCATCTAAGCACCACTCAAGCACATCCCACACAGTCCTAGCACATCCCAGCACCATCCCACAACACCCCAGCAAGTCCAAGGATGATCCCAGCACATCCCAGCACATCTCATCCCAGCTGCTGCATCCCACAACATACCAACACTTCACAGCACCATCCCAGCACATCCCAGGACATTCGAGCCCCATCCCAGTACATCCCAGCACATCCCAGCACCATCCCAGCATGGCCCAGCACATCCCAACCACAGCCCAGCTCATCACAGCACATCTGAGCACCATCCCAGCACAATCCTGACATCCCATACTATTCCACACAATTCCAGCACTATCCCAGCACCATTCCAGCACATCCCAGTCCCATCACACATCCTCCACACCATCTCAGCACAAACCAGCACCATCCCAACTGCATCCCACACCATCCCAGTACGTTGCAGCACCATCCCACAACAACCCAGCACGTCCCAGCCCCATCCCAGCACAACCCAGCACGTCCCACACAATTCCAGCACATTCCCAGCACCATCCCAGAACCATCCCAGCCCTGTACTAGCATCATCCCAGGACAACCCAGCACCAGCCCACCGCATCCCAGCATATCCTAGAACCATCCCACACCTTCCCTGCACCATCCCAGCAGATTCCAGCACGTCTCAGCATATCCCAGCATCATCCCACAACATCCAAGCACAACCCAGCACCATCCCAGCACATGCCAGCCCCAACCCAGCACACCCCAGCACGTCCCAGCACATTCCAGGACATCCCAGCACAAGACCACCGCATCCCAGCATATCCCAGAACCATCCCACACCTTTGCAGCACCATCCCAGCACATCCCAGCACATCCCAGCACCATCCCACTACATCCCATCACATCCCAACACGTCCCAGCACCATCCCACCACATCCCAGCCACATCCCAGCTCATCCCAGCACAACCTAGACATCCCATGCTATTCCACACGATCCCAGCACCTTCCCAGCACCATTCAAGCACCTCCCAGCCCCATCACACATCCTCCACACCATCACAGCACAAACCAGCACCATCCCAGCTGCATCCCACAACATTGCAGCACCATCCCACAACAACCCAGCACATCCCAGCCCCATCCCAGCACAACCCAGCACGTCCCACACAATTCCATACCATCCCAGCACGTCCCAGCCACATACCAGCACCATCCCAGGACATACCAGCGCAAGCTCACCAGATCCCAGCATATCCTAGAACCATCCCACACCTTCCCAGCACCATCCCAGCACATCCCAGCATCATCCCAGCACCATCCCAGCATCATCCCAGCACCACAGCATCATCCCAGCACCATTCCAGCACTATTCCAGCACATCCCAGAACAGCCCACACCATCCAACACATCCCAGCCACTGCCCAGCCCAAGCCCTCCACTCCCCAGCATCATCCCAGCACATCCCAGCATCATCCCAGCACATCACAACACGTCCCAGAACATCCCAGCCCATCGCAGAACCATCCCACACTTTCCCAGAACATCCCATCTGACAGAGACCAGCTCAAGACGCCTGGGACAGACGGGCTTAAGGCTCTGGTGGCGCAAGAAGCAAAGTTTATTGTTGTTACAGGGTTTTATGTCTTTTAGCTACAGGAGTATACAATACTTAAATCAGATAACATTCATGCAGCTGACAGCAATACATCATTACTTAATTAGCTCTTTGTGGATTATGGTCAGTACAGTGATCAAAAGGTGTTCTCTCCACAGAACGTGTTCTGCTCTTGGTCACGGAACGAAGAAGCTGTAGCTTATGCTTGCCAGTTTCACATGGCAGTCCTTCCCTTTCAGGAGGGGCCGCGTGTTCCCTGTTTGACCCTTTCAGGCCAGCCAGGTCTGTTTTGCTTCACAGTCTTCCTCATTCCACCCTTTTCTATTTTATTAGACCAGAGGTGGTGGTGGTTTATTTTTCGTGTTTTCCATCTCCAATTTTTTTAAGATTTATACGCAAATTTTGGAATCTATTTGTTATCATTTTCATCAAGCATGGACAAGCAAGAATTCCTATTATTATTATTATGGCAATGACTATCAGCCCATAAATTCCTTTTCTAAATGATTTAAGGGACGGAAATGCAGATTTTAGAGCGCTTATAAATGTAGTAGTTTGAGTTGCTACTGAAAGATCCATATGGTGCGACTGTATCATATCGTGAATGTGCTGTCTCAATTCCCTAAGATCTAATGACGTGTTTGCATTATTCCATATGCCTTGAAGATGATCTTGTATTTTGTTCCAAGAGAATTTGGTATTATTGTATTCAGCAGGAGTCACACAGATAGCTCGGTATTCTGCATGACACAAGAGAGATTCACGAGTAGCTATAATTTGTAACTGTCTTCCCAGGATGTCTACTGTATCTTTTAAGGAATTGAGACGCAGTTCAATCTTTTCATCCCATGTAGCTTGATTTTGTAACGCTTTCGATACATTAATTGATAATTCATTTACATAAGCTGCTGTCTGAATACTAGTTGTTAAGAAATAGAAGCTACTGTAGTTACTGCTATGGCAGCAATGAGCGCAGCTATTCCGGCTATTATTAATCCGACCATTCGCTTAGATCTCTCTATTAATTGCAAAGAAGCTTCTTGGAGAATTTCCATTCCCTTATCAGCATACCAATAATGTGTCAAATTTACAGGAAGATAGACATAATCGGGTTGCTTTACTAACAAGAAGGAACTACTGCTACTATTAAGACAATTAGAGATTATACAATCAGAACAACTCACTATGTTATTTACAATATTTAGTGGTCCGCTTAAAAAGGCATAAGGTTCTGGAACACAAGCTCGCATATAAAACTCAGCTGTATAACTCTCTGCAGTCATTGCCTATTTATTGTTTATCTGAATCCATGTCAAGTTTAATCGTTTTGCTTTGATTTTTTCCATGGCTGCGACTGCTTTCCATAAATTAGAATAGAACGTATGATTGTTTTTTTGTCCAAATTCCTGAGACCAAATTAATTGGTCGCCCTTGATTTCCTATCATATTCCAATCACACATAGTGGAATCAATGCACACCGTTTCGTTAGCTCGACATGCTCTCCATAAAGGTGCAAATTCTGTTTTTGGAGTGATCGTGCTTTGACATAAAGGAAAATTTAAGGGAGGCGTTCCCGAACCTCTTGTCCCATTAGCTAAATCTATATAGAGAAAATTCAGAGCCCAATGAATTCCTGTTGAAACATTGGTATCCCAATCTTGCTGCACTACCACTTTCTCACACAGGGATTGTGTTTGATTCATCTGAAAACATATAGGCATACCATCAACCTTTCCAGAATAATTAAAACGCGCAGAGAACTCTATTATGTGTCCATCTGAATATTGCCCCATAAACATTGTTTGATTGTTGTAAACTGGAATGTCCACTGGTTCATCCCATGCTACTGGATGAATGATAGGAGGATTGGGTACAAATGCCCAATACGTTTCTGCATCACAGCCATGATGTAGGATCCACAAGGTACTAAGGATTAGGGCCACGAGTCGTATTCTCACTTGCATCTTTCTTTCTCACGTTTGGGTTAGAGTCAGTCTCTGCATCTTCCTCCGCAGTTTTCCCATCTTTGTTTTTCGGCATGTCAAATGAGTCGTTCAGGGATCCACCGTGGCGAAGGCTCATCTGTAGGGAAGACACAAGCATATCCTCTGCCCCAAATTAGTACAGGATCAGTACCATAAATTTTACCGTCCATTGGATTTCTCCAATATGCCATTGGTTTATCTCTTGTTTTATTACTCCAATATCTATTCGCAGCCAATTTTCCATCATCATCCAGTGTCAAAAAATTTAAAACAAATAATGCATGTGATAATATAGAGGACGGAGTATCTTTAATTCCTCATGTCCCCCCTTTTATTTTCTTTAGTTGAGTTTTCAGAAAATGATTAAATTTTTCTACTATGCCTTGGCCTTCTGGATTATATGGAATTCCAGTTTTATGGTGAATTTTAAAATGTCGACAAAAGGTTGCAAAACCGCTACTTACATAAGCTGGCCCGTGATCGGTTTTTAATGATTTCATTGTTCCCATAACGCTAAAACAATGCAAAAGATGGTTGCATACATGAGAGAGTTTTTCACCAGACAAGGCTGAGGCTACTGCAAAGTGAGAGAAAGTGTCAATTGTTATATGGACATAAGAAGATTTTCCAAAAGAAGGTACGTGTGTGATATCCATCTGCCATAAATCATTAGGCATTAATCCTCTGGGGTTCACTCCAAAATGAGGAACTGGTAATAAAGGGGCACAAGAAGAACCGTTCCGCATATTCCGAAGTCCAAAGCAAATATTCACCTCCACTTAACACAGCCTTCACCAAGCTTTTCCAGTCAGAAGGGGGAAGAATATTAGCAGCTTTAAGCTCTTTCAGTTGTTTAAAAGGAATAGGCTCATAATCATTTACTATGTTTCCATTTGTTTGTTGGCTCTGTATCATGGGATAAACGTGCCCAGAAAAATCATTAATTGTCTCCCCAGCTTTCCTAGCTTCTTTTAATGCTAATTGCACAGGGGATTGTTGCATAAGCAGAGCGTCCACACCCAGTGGTGGAGGCATTCGCCCTGCCCGAAAGGCAGGCACAGCAAGGGGATGTGATCGAGCCTGATCGACTGTCTGTTGTGTCTGCACAGCAGCATCAGCAGCCTGTAACGCTGGGAATGCAGCCACTGAGTCCTTATGGTGATATTCAGCAGCCTCTTTTTCTAACTCTCCCCAATCATCAGGGGGTAAAATATCCTTTGTCATGTTAGTGCCAGGAGGTTTACAAGGCGGCAAGTCGTTTGCTAATTTACAAATCAAAGGTTGCTCATATTGGGGAGGGGAGGGTGGGGGTGCCGATGGCATAGACGAAGGGATGTGATCGAGAGATTTTGATCGTGGCAAGGCAGGATATAACTTTTCTGTTGAGCGAGTGGTCCGCTGCCACTTCTCATCTCCTGTGTCTCCTCTGAGACATTCTTTTATTAGAGTCCAAAGTGTAAAGGTATCAATAGGTATCTTCTCAGGACCATGCACAGCATAATAGCCCTGGAGTCTTTCACCTACTTTGTTCCAAGTTTCAATATTAATAGTTCCATCCCTGGGAAACCAGGGGCATACTTCCTCTATAAAATCTAAAAAACGACTAATCTGACCCCGAGTCACTTTTACTCCTCGGGCAACTAATAATGATTTCAGCATTGCAGAAAAAATGCCTCGTTCAGTACTTGCAGCTTGTCCCATTTTATTTAACAATCTGTCCAATTCCCCAGTCCTTACCTCCCTATTTCAACTCACCAACCGCGGCTCGTGGGAGGAAGCGACGCCTTTGTCATTGGAGTCCGAGTATCCCGGGTTTCGGCACCAGATGACGGAGACCAGCTCAAGACGCCTGGGACAGACGGGCTTAAGGCTCTGGTGGCGCAAGAAGCAAAGTTTATTGTTGTTACAGGGTTTTTATATCTTTTAGCTACAGGAGTATACAATACTTAAATCAGATAACATTCATGCAGCTGACAGCAATACATCATTACTTAATTAGCTCTTTGTGGATTTTGGTCAGTACAGTGATCAAAAGGTGTTCTCTCCACAGAACACGTTCTGCTCTTGGTCACGGAACGAAGAAGCTGTAGCTTATGCTTGCCAGTTTCACATGGCAGTCCTTCCCTTTCAGGAGGGGCCGCGTGTTCCCTGTTTGACCCTTTCAGGCCAGCCAGGTCTGTTTTGCTTAACAGTCTTCCTCAAGGTTGTGGATGCTTCCTCCCTGGAAGCATTCAAGGTCAGACTGGATAGGGCTTTGAGCAATCTGGTCTAGCAGAAGCTGCTGTAAGCAGGGGAGTTGGCACTAGGTTGCATTTGATGCAAACACAGGAGTAAGGCAGCGTCCCAAACGCTGCATGTTCAGGAAATGCAAGGTCAGTGCCCTGGTGCTGCACCGCCTGTATGTGATGTGCAGAGGGCGAAGGAGGCTGCGGGCCCTTTCCTCGGCTCCGGCTCCTCTGTGCCCTGTTGCTGGCCGCAGAGAAGGGCTGCCCGCTGGGCACAGGGAGCGCCTTCTCGCCGCCGTCCCGTGCCCTGCAGCCCCCTCCTCATCCCGTGCGCAACGCCGCTCCCAGCAGCACAGGTGCCATTGTGGAACCTTCCCATGTCACAGCCGTCACCTTGGTCACTGCCGCCCCACCCGGCGCACTCGTCTCTGAGAGTGCTGGGCAGGTGGCAGCCATGTCCAGCACGAAGAGAGCGAGAGTGGAGGAGACAGTGGTTTTAAATGGGAAGAGGGAGCTGGGGGCCCCAGAACCGAAGAGGAGGAGGGGGCCCACCATGACCATCAAGCAGAGGAGGGAGAGGAGGAAGGGAGCCCGGTTCCATCGCGCCCGGGCCAGCGCTGTGAGCGACCATGGGGAGCCCATGGAGGTGGATCCGCCTCCAGAGGAACCCATGGAGGTGGATCCGCCTGCGGCACAGCTGGCCTGGCACCACACCACCGTGCCAGGCCCTGTGTTGGCGCGGTCACAGCTCCGCCATCGCTGGTCCGGGCGCTCGGCCCCTTACCCTCTGCGCGGCCCCCGCCCCCGGCATTAGCTGGGTGGCATTGCTGACCATCTGCTCCTCCTCCACCTTGTTGCTCCTCTGCGCTTCTGCGGGCCCCCAGTTCCATCTTCCCCCTTAGGAGTTAGGTCCCACTGCTGGGCTTTGTTGTTGATTTTAGTGTTAGCTTAGTTTTAGTGCTCAGTTTAGTTTTAGCAATAGGCATAGGTTACTGTTAGGAGTTTAGAGTTAGGCATAGGTTACTGTTAGGAGGTTAGAGTTAGGCATAGGTTACTGTTAGGAGGTTAGAGTTAGGCATAGGTTACTGTTAGGAGGTTAGAGTTAGGCATAGGTTGCTGCTGCCAACTGGCAGTAAATGCTGCTCACTCGGTAAGCCCTCCCCGAGTTCTCATGCAGAGAAATGAGTGTGACTGCCCTGAGAAGGGAGGTTTGAGGATGTCTGCGATGAATTGAATTTCCATCTTGTGACTTTTCTGTTGCAGAACATCGAGGCATGTGAGTGGCTGAGAAATGGAGTTGGGGCTCAGGGGAGCAATCGAGCAATGGGTGCCTGTGTCACAACCTTCCTGAGCGGCCCTTGCAAGGTAGGTGTGCCTTACTGTGAGCGTGCGCTGAGGCACTGCTGTTCAAACACAGCTGGTGGCACTGTCTGCAGCAGGTCTGCTTTCTGTTAAGCTTTGCCCTTCTTTTGTGTCCTCCTGTCCTTTTCAGCTCCTGCTCCCCTCGCTTGCAAGTGGAGCAATGCTCAAGTTTGAGGAATCTTTCCCTCGGCAGGCGCAAGTTTAAAAGACAACGCAGCTGCAAGTTTTGTGTCATTCGTTGTCATTGGGTCAGTAGACCAAGGAGATGTTCAGAACAGCTCTAAGTCAGCCTGTCACAGCAGTGTGCATGAGAGAATAACGACTCCTTCTCTCCTCTTGTAGAAAGCAGCCTCTTTGAGAGCAGGAGAGCAGCGGGCTGCCTGCTGTGTGGGCATTTCTGCCAGCTGAGATCCCTGAGCCCACGCTGGCAGAGAACGTGCTGCGCCACCATCTCTTCTGTGGAGCTGCTTTGCAGCTGCTCTGTGCGCTGGCCGTAATCGTGCCCGTTTCCAGGTGCCATAAGCCAGTAAGTCGTGCTCTCTGAGGCTGATAGCAAGGCGCGGGCAATGGGCAGGGAGGGAACAATCTGTAGCTGTGGCCTACGGTGCTGTGCCCGGCACTGCTGAGCGTGCCGTCGTTTGTCCTGCCCTTCCTTCCGTGTGCGCGTGTTCCTGATGCACGCCAGGAGCCTTGGGGTGCTGCTCATCTGCTGCTGCTGCTGCTGTGCTGTGTGTGCTGCCAGGCAGTGTCCAAGCCCTGTGCAGGCGCTGCCTTGCAGGAGATGGCTTTGGGTTCAAGTTCGTATAGGACTTTTGGGCAGGAGATAGAGGTGGAGTTTCTGGCGTGCCCTGATGGCAGGAAGGCGGTTTCCAGTGCTGGCAGCCAAAGCTGCCCGGGCGGTAACTTGAGCTCCCCAAGCGAGCTGTCAGCCACTTGTTACCTGTGAAGGTTCCCTGACAGTTTCTGCCTTGATTCTTGTAGGACTGGCACAGTCTTGGGACTCGGTCTGGCGAGACAGTGAAGAAAGCCAAGGCAAGTGCTGCTCTGCTGAGGAAGGAAGCCCAGAAGGAGAGCAAAAAGAACCGAGAAGGGCTTGAGCGAGAAGGCCCCCAGGACACTCAAAGCAGCTGGAATGCTTCCTCGGAGGTGGCACCAAAGGCAGCGGACTGAGTCAGCGTCTGGTTTTGTGGCATGGCCGTGCTTTCCCTTGTCACAGACAGTGCAGTGGAACTGAGGCACCTGGAAGGGAAGGGCTTGTGCTGCATTCCAAGCAAAGAGGGCTTGCCAGAAGCAGGTCTTCATCTATGGCAAGAGATGGAGAGGCTGTGTTCCTTCAGGCTGCGTCTCTTCAGGGCCAGGGCCGGTCTAGTATGAGATTGAAGTACGGCTAGCCGGGCCTGGAGGGAGAGGAGCTGACGTAGCCACAGGGTCAGGCTTCTCCTCGTGTCTGCCTGGAGGCTGAATGACTAATGAGTCATTCATTTGCTAAGCAGAAACTCTGGATGCTGGGGTTTCATTTTGGGCTGTGTTGATAGAAATACAACCCAGAGCCTTTTGCATTGAATAAAAGCGAAACCAACTTTTTAAACACGGTTCTGCCTCTTTCCGTAGCTGGTCAAAAGGTCCCTTGCTTGGGCTGGCAATCGCAGGGCCATGAACTGGTCGGCTCTCCCCTGAAATTCTGCTGGTTTTCCCCCGTTTCCTTGTTGGTCTTCCCAACGGGTGGCCTTTCAGCCCACCTGTAACTGCTGGCCACAGGATGTGAGCATCCCTTTGCTCTCCAAGGACCGCTAGCAAAAGCACGAAGGAGGGGAAGCGGCCCGGGAGGAAGAAAGGCATCCCTGCACTCAGCCCCTTGAGCTTGCCTCTCTGCCTGTTGGCTTTCTCAGCCTTGGGCTGTGCTGAGGGTTGCTGTTTGCCCCGGGAAGCCCAGCTGCACACAGGCAGCCGTGGCCTGCACATCAGCCTGGCGTTGAGGCACGAGGAGTTGAGGTGTGGGTCGGATGGCATGAAGAGCAGCGCTGGGAGCGGGGAGGAGGAGAGGGCAGCGGGTGGGCGGCAGGGGAATGTGCCTCGGAGCAGAGCTGAGCCTCGAGGTTGGAGGACACTGAGCTGTGCTGCACTGCTTCAGCTCCAGTGGTTTCAAGCGCGTTATGGCAGCGCCGCGTGTTGTGCCAGGGTGCTACAAGGGCGCTTTGCTGAGCCATGAGGGGCGACTGCTTTGCCAAGTGTTTTCCTGTTGCTCCTTGGAGTTTCTGCGTTTGAATTACTGCACGATGATCTGCTGTTTAAACTGCTCCTCGTACCTCTGCATCATCTGCAGACTGTGCTGCCAGGTCCCTGGTGGAGTGGTGGAACGTTATTGGTGCTGGGTAGAGGCCAAGGCACCTTTCTCTCAACTGGCTTCCAGCTGAGCTTTTTGCCAGTTCTCGCAGCCCTCTCTGTCTGGCCCTTGGGGTAGTTTTGTGCCCACCTCGTAGCCCTCTTTTTTAGCTGCTATGTCATCAACTTGCCTATGAGGCTGTCGTGAGAGAGAGAGAGGAAAGCCTTACTGAGGTGGAGAGAAACAGAATTCACCAGTGTTTTCTTTCCCACCAAACTTCCCCACCCCTCCCCCCTGTACAAAGCTGTCACATTGGTACCCGGTGGTTTCCCCTTTGTTTTCTGTCACCCTTTTCCTTAACGAGTCCAGGGACGACTCCTATTTTGTTTGTATGTATTAAGCATGATGAAGTGATGTAGAATAAGGGGGGGAATGTCATGGTTTTATGCTTTGGGTTATCAGCATTCCACACATAACATCATGTAATGCACTGGGAGTTTGACTGCTGATGCTCAAATTCCAGGTGCCTGTCTGGAGGAGAAGTGGAAACTATGGGAGCGCACGGCCATCAGGTCAACCCGTAATACTCTATTAGAGCGAACTGCAATCAGGTCAACCCTTAGAGCAGAGCACTATAGGAGCGCACGGCCATCAGGTCAACCCTTAGAGCACGTTGGGAGCGTACAGCCATCAGGTCAACCCCTAAAACTCGAAGGGTACTAACGGCCATCAGGTCAACCCGTAAAGCTCTAAGGGAGCGTACAGCCATCAGGTCAACCCCTAAAACGCTTAGGGAGCGCACGGCCATCAGGTCAACCCATAGAGCTCTATTGGAGTACACGAGCATCAGGTCAACCCCTATTTGTGACGACCCGGAATTGTGACGTCACAATGGGGTATTGTGAGTCCATAATGAGGTATTGTTCTGGGAGAAAAAGCCACATTTAAGGGCTAAACCAGGGATTTATGGGAGAAAATCCCAGATTTAAGGGGAAGAACAAGGATTTCTGGGAGACAAATCCACTTTTTAGGATAAAAACCGGGATTTCTGGAGAAAACCCCTGATTTAAGGATTAAAACAGGGATGTATTGGTGAAAACCCCAGATTTAAGTGGAAAAACAGGGATTTCTGGGAGAAAAAGCCACATTTAATGGGAGAAACAGGGATTTCTGGCAGAAAACTCCAGATTGAAGGGGAAAAACAGGGATTTTGGGGAGAAAAAGCCACATTTAAGGAGAAAAGCAGCGATTTGTGGGAGAAAATCCCAGACTTAAGGGGAAAAACAGG